AAAGACAGACATCAACTTAATGGAGAAGGACTGAATGCTTTCCTCATAAGATGTCCACCCTTACCTCTTCTATTCAACATTATACTGGAGGTTCTAGCCAGGGCAATTAGGTAAGAAAAAGAAATGAAAGACATCCAGATTGGAGAGGAATGGAAAGGAAGAAGTAAAACTGTCTTTACTATATCTAATTTACAGATGACATGATCTCATATACAGAATATCCTAAGAAATCCACTAAAAATCTATTAGAAACAATAAAACATTTCAGTGAGGTTTCAGGATATAAGATTAACATTAACTAATCAATTGCAGTTTATATTTGAGCAATAAACAACCCAAAAAATTAAGAAAACAATCTACTTATAATATCATCAAAAAGAATAAAATACTTAGGAATAATATTTAATAAAACTGTAAGACTTGTACACTGAAAACTACAAAACAATGTTGAAATAAAGAAGATACAAATAAACATGAAGACATGTCATGTAGATGAATGGGAAGAATTAATATTTCTAAGACAGCAACGAAGCCAAATCTAGCCTCTGTATCCCAACACTGAATTGAATCTTGGAGACAAGATGGGTGAAGTAGAATAGTTTTATTGCTTTGCCAGGCAAAGGGGGCCACAACGGGTTAATGTGCTCAAAACTGTGTCCCAAACCCGGGGGTGGGGGTGGTGGGGGTGGGGTGAGGAGTGTAATAGTCAAGGGAAGCAGGGTTGCTGGTAAGGATCAGGGTGCCTTGCTGCATTCCTTCAATCCAAAGATTATCTGACATCAGGTGATGATGGGCAAACTGTGACCTCCTCTGGAATGAAGAGTGCTTCATCAAGTAGTTAACACCTTCCATTTGGTGGGGGTTTTAGTTCTGCAGAAGAGCTCAAAGATATTGTTATGTGTATCCCTTGAGTGGGAACCAGGACCCTGCTCCTAAGGCTGCACTATTGTTTCTTGACTGCTCCTCACTTGTCTCTCCATCCTCTCCCTTCCCTGATTAGCAACTGTTTGAACCTGCCCTTTGGAACTCAGGGAAGGGGACACAGAAAGGCTTTTGTGCCCAGGAGCCCCACAGGGTCTTGCTCGGTTTCAGCAATATTCCCCAAATTTTATCTACAGATCTAAGGCAATCCCTATCAAAGTCTCAGATGCCTTTTTGAAAAACTTGAAAAGCCAAACCCAATATTTCTATGGTAACACAAAGGTACCAGAATAGTCTAAACAATCCTGAAAAAGAACAACAAAGTTATAACATTCACACTTCCCAATTTTAAAACCTACTACAAAGCTACTGCAATCAAGACAGTGTAGTACTGGCATAAGGATAGACATATAGATGAATGGAAAAAAGAATAAGAGCCCAGAAATAAACCCTTACATTTGTTTGATTTCTGGCAGGGTGCCAAGAAAAGTCATTGAGGGAAGAATAGCTTTTTCAATAAATTATGCTGAGACCATTGTACATCCATATACAAAAGAATGGGTTTGGAATCCTACCTCATAACAAATACAAAAATTAACTCCAAGTAGATCATAGACCCAAATGTAAGAGCTAAAACTATAAAACTCTTAGAAGAAAACATAGCAAATCTTTACGATCTTGAATAGGCAGTGTTTATTAGATATGACACCAAAAACATAAGCAACAAAAGAAAAAAATAGATAGATTGAATTTCATCAAAATTAAAACTTTTGCTTCAAGGGGCATTATCAAGAAAGCTAAAGACAACCTACAGAATAGGAGAAAATTTTTGCTTGTCATATATCTCTCAAGCAACTCGTATCCAGAATATATAAAGAACTCTTAAACAGTAAGAAGTCAAATAGCCCAGGTAAAAATGGGCAAAGAAGTTGAACAGACATTCCCCCAAAAACATACACATAGGGCCAATAAACATATGTAAAGATGAATCATTAGTATTCAGAGAAATGCAGTATCAAAATCATGAAAAGACCCATGAAAATGCTATAATGAAAAAGTCAGACAACAACTGTTGGTGAGAATGTAGAGAAATTAGAATCCTCATACACTGCTGGTGAGAATGTAAAATGGTGCAATCACTTTGGAAAAATGTTTGGCAATACCTTGAAGTGTTAAGACATAAAGTTCGTGCGTAACTGAAATTCCAGTCCTAGGTAAACATACCTGACAGGAATGAACTCACATGTCCATACAAAAACTTGTACTTGAATGTTCATAGCAGCATTATTCATAATAGTCAAAAAGTGGCGATAACCTAAATATCTATCATTTAATGAATGAATCAACTAAATGTGATATATCCATACAATGGAATATTTTTCAGCAATAAAAAAGAATAAAATACTGATACATGCTACAACATGGATGAATCTTGAAAACATTAAGAGAAAGAAGCCAGATGCAAAAGACAACATACTGTATAATCATATTCATGTGAAATGTCCAGAACTGGCAAATCCTTAGAGACAGAAAGTAGATTAATGGTGGCTGGGGCTGGAGTAGGGAGTAGATGAGATGGAGAGCAGAATGGAAATGACTATTAATGTGTATGAGGTTTCTTTTTGGGATGTTGAAAATATTCTAAAATTAGATTGTGGTGATGGCTGCAAAGTTCTGAATATACACCGCAGAACTTTACACTTTTAAGTGAATGATTTTATGGTATATGAAATATATCTCATTAAAGCTGTTAAAAATATATTTACCAGTAAGAGTCTGATTCCTGTATCCAGGTTTCGGTTCCACCATATGTCTGTATTGGAGATCAACAAGTGCACTGATGATACAATGACTGTCTCCAATAAAGCATTTTCTGTATTCTGCCATACCTACAGTACACAAATTTACCACTTCATTAGGCAGAATTTGATAATCTAAGTAAACTGTTAGAGTAAACAAAATCATAATTAAATTTGGGAATAGGAAAATACTATTAAGTGCATAGCATTACCATTCTAAAAGCTCTTGTGAATCCAATGGAGACAGACACAGAGTGGAGTCCTTGTAAGGAACTGTCCAATGAAAGAAATGCTATCATAGCAAAAGGTGACACTAAGGCAAACAAAAAAAGAGACAAATTTAATGAAAGCAAAATAACCCCTTCTACCATATTTTATTTTGGCCTATGAGTATTTTTATGAGCACATTTAAGCAATGAGCTAAAAAAACCAAAAAATAAACCAAAACATAAAAGAATGAACACTTGTATGTATAACATTATACAAATACAGGAATTCCATAATATTTTTGTACACTTCCTAGATAAAATACAAGTTTATTAGTATTTGTCTTCCTACCTAGATTTATCAAAATCCGTCTGAGAACACCAATCTTCATGAGCTTTGTTTGCTTCTCTAGGAACAAAGTCACAGTCTGCACATGCTTTGGATAGATAGGGTTCCGGAAAATTCCAAATATATAGACACTTTGAATTTCTTTAAGTATCCATAGTATTATAAATAATATCATCAAAATATAGCCAACAATAGCCTGGGGACTGTTTTTGGAAATCTGTGAGAAACCAGCAAAGTGATGCAACAAACCAGTTTCTAAGAGAGCCAAGACTAATACAATGCTGTAGAAAAGGTATTCCTTCCAAGTAAACTGTTTTTCCAAACTGTTGGGTAAAGCCTTAGATTTGGTTCCAACTCTGTGTCCGGTCACACTGTGTTTGAAGCCAAAAACCATCTCACTTAGGTTAAGACTCAGTAAGAATCCAAGTCCAGTCATGAAAAGAACCACACCAACAGTGCTGGGAATGAAATATGATGTTACAGCTGTTCCAGTAGAAATGATGAACATTATTAACAACCTGCAGAGGGGAAAAAAAAGATCTGCTTGAAAAGAAAAAATGTTCTTTGAGAATAAATTACATATCACTTTAATATTTAAAATAATTACCGTAGGTGGGTTGACATAGATGAGCCTCCAAGGCCAAACTCTAAAACCTGCTCCATTGCCCATAAGAAAAGTGCATCAGGTGGGGGTAGGGTCCCGAGTGCCCACAGAAAGGGTAAAAATATAAACAAGATGTGTAAAATCTGATTAATTTGTTCTAGAACTGGTATATTTACCATAAACCTACAATAAAAAGAAAATATTTAAATCATACAAAACAATAAATAGAAGATCTTTAAAGGAAAAACAAAACACATACACCTCCCTCTATATCCCACCTCTGCCCTGAAACAAAAGAATATTTACAGGAAGGTCCTAATCCCAAATGCAAAAGATCAAAAACATAAATTGTGACCACTGTCCTTCCTCTATACCAGCAAGTACTCAATTGTATACAAGTGTAGTACAGGGTGAAAATATTTCTCCCTTAAATCTTTAAACTACATTGGCTGCAATTCCACCAATGATTCTATAGAGTTTAAAAATTTTTAATTTAAAATTGCAAGCAACCCTGGGAAAGCCAAAGCCTTCCTGCTGTTCATATCTTAGTAGCTAGCAAAGAGAGTAAGCTCTTCTCTTTTTCCTACTCTCTCCTGTACTGTCTTGCTCCCAGGTCCTGGAATTTGAAATCAGTATATTTAAAATCAGAGGTCAGCAACATTAGGTTATGAACATGTCTCTGTGGGTTAGCTTGGGAATTTAACAAACATATAATATTGTTTCTATTTTGTATAAACAGTGGTATGGATTTGAGAACACTAACTTGTACAACACAGTCTCATAAATTAGTGAAGGCTTCTATCTTAACTGGAGAAATTGGTTTTTGGTACAGCACTTACCAGTTAAACGTAACATTATCAAGTTGTTTCAAATAATTTAACAAAAACTTTAAAGCACAGAGGAATAAACATTATCAATATGTTACTAAGTGTTTGGAATAAGGTTAGCCAAACACCTGGCCTGGAAACCAACAACGCTGTAGTACTTATGGAGTTCCAAAGACAACTTTCAAAAGAGAAAACTAAATCTCAAAACTTATAGCATAATAATTGTACTTGAATATCTGAGCTGCTAGGAATCAAAGTCAAGGAGAAAGGCAACTAATTTATACACTTAAGTGTATGTTAATAGCCGAGAAGCAAATGCACAGCAACTGATTATAATAATGGTATAATGTGCTTCCTTACACAGATATCAGGACGATGCCATCTAATGCACTCTGCTTCATAATGTATGTCCTTCAAATTTTTATAAGCAGAGAGGATTAATGAACACAAGGTTAACAATGTGATGCTAAATTAGAGGATACTTTCTGTAGTGTAGTTTTAAAATAAAATTCATTTCATTCTGAGAAGAAAACACTCCAGTAACAAAAAAGAAAATCAAACCACACACAGTAAGCCATAGGAAGGTCAAGGAAAACATGTAGATTTGTAGTTTTTGTTTTTGTTTTTTAAAGACAACACTTCTCTTGCTAACATATTCAAGGAAAGGATAGTTTCTGTAAAAATAATGTATACTTAGGAAATATGTTACCCAAGTTCTATTTTACCCCCCCAATCTCTTTTTGTTCTTAAACAAGCAATAGTACAGAAAAGTGTTTATACACAAGGATAGCACAATATAAGAATACATAATTGAAATAACCAAACATTGTGATTACTTTCCTGTGTGTATGACTCAGGATGATCAAACAGATGATTACTGTGGTTCTTTTATAACAGAAAAATGTTTAAATCCTAAAATTTCTGATAACGTTACAGTAATTTTCTAGAGCAAAAAAATCTAAGCCCGCAAGAAAAAACTGTTTTTCTAATAACCATAAAAATATTTCAAATTCTGTACACTCACGAAGATCCACATGCCCAGAAAAAGATGTTCCTAATATGTAGTGGCTAAGATGATATAAACATGCAACATTCATTCAAACAGTTCCTGAGAGTCTATGAACTAATAAGCACTGAAGGTTTCACACTTGTCTTTGATAAAAATGCATAGAAAAGTCATTTAAAATTATTAATATACAACTGTACTAGGTAGACTAAAGAATGCAGGAAGAGAAAAGATCACTACACTGTAGGGCTTGTCTCTTCAACTTTCACATTCTCTGAAAGAATATTAAGATACAACTTGACATATCTGACAACTCTCCAAATTCGAATAGAGTACACATTTCATACAGTATTTATATGCAGTATCACACCTACTACTGCATAAAGAACATCTTGATTATTATTTTAATAAGGTAAAATTTTTCTAAAATTGAAATGGGAGGTAATTTTTCTATATAAACATATTTTCTTTAAAAATAGGTTTGAGGACTGCCTCTTTTAGTTATAGTTGAAAAAATCTTTTTATAATTATTAAACTGTAAACATTAAAACTATATTAAATCCAACTTGAATATAGTAAAAAAAAACATTTTATGCTCTCTTATCGAGAAATGAAAAATGAGTAGTCAAGGTAACCAAATTATAAATTAACTGCCTGAGATTTTTAAAAAGATTAAAAGAACGTAGGCCATCATTTAAATGCAAAGATGTTTTATAGCAGGTAATTTCTGATACCAGAAATGGCACAGTGAGATAGTAACTCAATAATTTATATTCTGAAAATAAGACTCTTATAAATAAATCTTTCAAAAGGGGTCAAATGTATACATATACATTTTTTTTTTTTTTTTTTTTTTTTTG